GGGGCATTTTCGGGAGAGATCATAAATTCGGGGGTGAGAGCGGAGAATTTATAAACAGGGAGAGGAAAAATAAAGCGATTAGGGGGAAGGGGTTAATTGGAGACGGACGGAGGAGTTATTAAATGGGTTTAAAGGATCGTTTGCGTAATCGGCGCTTTGGAAGGGATAAGCTAATATTTTTAAATTAATTGAAGCTTCGAATCCTCAAACTGTGATCCTTGACATTAATCTAAAAGATATTGAGAAATATTGAATTTCATTTATTCGAAATTTCTCAAGATCTTCCAGAGGTTTTCTGCCAGTTTAGTAAGATTATTTCAGTTTTTTAGATTGCGGCTTTTTAAACTGCTAAATTTAACATTTATTTCAAAGAAAGAAACTTAAGCTTAATTTTTCCAAATTTGAATTTAATTTTGGAACTTCGGCCCCGAATATTTTTGACTTGGCAAGATCTTTCAGAAGCTTTTCTCCGGATTTGTTAGATCTTTTTTCAGTTTGTATATATTTTTAAATTTATATTTTCTTTTAAATTCTTCCAGGGGTTTTTCTGACAGATCGGTTACATTTTTTTTCAATTTTCTATAGGATAAAAGGTACTTTTTAATTTGATTAAAGTTTCGCCTTCAGATTTTCGAAATTTAAGTTTTATTTTGCAATTTCGGCCTCGAATATTTTGGACTTTTCAGGATCTACCACAGGTTCTTCTCCAATTTAGATACATGTTTTTTCCGGTTTTCTTTGGAAATAAACAGGCACTTATTTTTAGTTAATTGAAGTTTCGACTCTTTAAACTGATAATCTTGACACTAATCTCGAAAAAATACGAAAGTTTGATTTCAGTTTTACGAAATCTAGACTTACTTTTAGAACCTCGGTCCGAATATTGTAGACTTGGCAAGAGCTTTCATATGTTTTTTCCAGTTTTGTTACGCATTTTCTTCAGTTTTCAATGGAAATGAAATGGAATTTTCTCAAACTAATTGAAGCTTCAAGCCTTTAAAGTGCGGAGTTTAACATTAATCGCAATAAAAATAGAAACTTTGATTTAAGTTTTCAAAATCTGGCATCGATTGTAGAAGTTTGGTTCCGAATAGTATAAATTTCTGAAGATCTTTAGAGGTTCTTTTTTCACTTTGTTTAGACATTATGTTGAGTATTCTATGGAAACAAGAAGGCAGATTTTTAAATCATTGAAGCTTTGGCTCTTAAACTCGACGTTTGGCATAATTTCGAAAACAAGTTTTTTAAAAATTCTTCTAAATATGGGATTAATTTTAGAACTTCGGTCCCGAATATTATACGAATAGATCTGATAAGATCTTCCAGAGGTTTTCTGACAGAACGGTAACATTTTTTTTTTCAGTTTTCTATGGAAGGCAAAAGGTATTTTTTAGATTGATTAAAGCATCGCTTCTTTAAATTGCCAATATTAACATTAGTCTCAAAGAAACAAGAAACTTAGACTTCAGATTTCCGAAATTTAAGTTTAATTTTGCAATTTTGGCCTCGAATATTTCGGGTTTTTCAAGATTTCCCAGAGGTTCGTCTCCAATTTAGATAAATGTTTTTTCCGGTTTTCTTTGGAAATAAACAGGCACTTATTTTTAATTAATTGAAGTTTCGACTCTTTAAATTTAGAATCTTGACACTAATCTCGAAAAAATAAGAAACTTTGATTTCAGTTTTTCGAAATCTAGACTTACTTTTAGAACCTCGATCCGAATATTGTAGACTTGGCAATAGCTTTCATATGTTTTTTCCAGTTTTGTTACGCATTTTCTTCAGTTTTCAATGGAAATGAAATGGAATTTTCTCAAATTAATTGAAGCTTCAACCCTTTAAAGTGCGGAGTTTAACATTAATCGCACTAAAAATAGAAACTTTGATTTAAGTTTTCAAAATCTGGCATCGATTGTAGAAGTTTGGTTCCGAATATAAATTTCTGATGATCTTTAGAGGTTTTTTTTTCACTTTGTTTAGACATTATGTTGAGTATTCTATGGAAACAAGACGGCAGATTTTTAAATCATTGAAGCTTTGGCTCTTAAACTCGAAGTTTGGCATAATTTCGAAAACAAGTTTTTTAAAAATTCTTCTAAATATGGGATTAATTTTAGAACTTCGGTCCCGAATATTATACGAATAGATCTGATAAGATCTTCCAGAGGTTTTTCTGACAGAACGGTAACATTTTTTTTTTTCAGTTTTCTATGGAAGGCAAAAGGTATTTTTTAGATTGATTAAAGCATCGCTTCTTTAAATTGCCAATATTAACATTAGTCTCAAAGAAACAAGAAACTTAGACTTCAGATTTCCGAAATTTAAGTTTAATTTTGCAATTTTGGCCTCGAATATTTCGGGTTTTTCAAGATTTCCCAGAGGTTCGTCTCCAATTTAGATAAATGTTTTTTCCGGTTTTCTTTGGAAATAAACAGGCACTTATTTTTAATTAATTGAAGTTTCGACTCTTTAAATTTAGAATCTTGACACTAATCTCGAAAAAATAAGAAACTTTGATTTCAGTTTTTCGAAATCTAGACTTACTTTTAGAACCTCGATCCGAATATTGTAGACTTGGCAATAGCTTTCATATGTTTTTTCCAGTTTTGTTACGCATTTTCTTCAGTTTTCAATGGAAATGAAATGGAATTTTCTCAAATTAATTGAAGCTTCAACCCTTTAAAGTGCGGAGTTTAACATTAATCGCACTAAAAATAGAAACTTTGATTTAAGTTTTCAAAATCTGGCATCGATTGTAGAAGTTTGGTTCCGAATATAAATTTCTGATGATCTTTAGAGGTTTTTTTTTCACTTTGTTTAGACATTATGTTGAGTATTCTATGGAAACAAGACGGCAGATTTTTAAATCATTGAAGCTTTGGCTCTTAAACTCGAAGTTTGGCATAATTTCGAAAACAAGTTTTTTAAAAATTCTTCTAAATATGGGATTAATTTTAGAACTTCGGTCCCGAATATTATACGTATAGATCTGATAAGATCTTCCAGAGGTTTTTCTGACAGAACTGTTAAATTTTTTTTTTTCAGTTTTCTATGTAAGACAAAAGGTAGTTTTTAGATTGATTAAAGTATCGCTTCTTTAAATTGTCAATATTGACATTAGTCGCAAAGAAACAGGAAACTTTGACTTCAGATTTCCGAAATTTAAGTTTAATTTTGCAATTTCGGCCTCGAATATTTCGGATTTTTCAAGATCTCCCAGAGGTTCTTCTCCAATTTAGATAAATGTTTTTTCCAGTTTTCTTTGGAAATAAACAGGCACTTATTTTTAATTAACTGAAGTTTCGACTCTTTAAACTGAGAATCTTGACACTAATCTCGAAAAAATAAGGAACTTTGATTTCAGTTTTTCGAAATCTAGGTTTATTTTTAGAACCTCGGTTCCGAATATTGTAGACTTAGCAAGAGCTTTCATATGTATTTTCCAGTTTTGTTACGCATTTTCTTCAGTTTTCAATGGAAATGAAACGGCATTTTCTCAAATTGATTGAAGTTTCAGGTCTTTAAACTACGAAGTTTAACATTAATCGCAATAAAAATTGAAGCTTTGATTTCAGTTTTTTGAAATCTGTCATTAATTTTAGAATTTCGGTCCAGAATAGTACAGATTTCTCAAGATCTTTAGAACTTTCTCTTCGCTTTGTTTAGACATAATGTTGGGTATTGGACATGTTTTTAAAATTGTTAAAGTTTCGCCTCTTTAAACTTCGAAGCTTGCTCTTTAATCCCGAAAAAAAAAGAGTTTTGTTTATTTTTTTTTTATTCTGAGATTAATTTTAGAACTTTGGTCACAAATATACGAATTATACCAGATTTTTCAGAAATTTTTTCCAGTTTGGTTAAACAATTTGTTCAGTTTTCTATGGAAATAACATTGAATATTCTCAAATTAATTGAAACTTCGAGTCTTTAAACTGGGAGTTTAACATTAATCTCGAAAAAACAAGAAACTTTGATTTCAGTTTTTCTAATTCTGGGATTAATTTTAGAACTTCGGTCCAGAGTATTGTAGATTTAGCAAGACCTCGTCGAGGGTCTTTCCAAATTGATTTAGACACTTTTTTTTAGTTCTGCGAAAGAGAAAAATCTTTGTGTTCTTCGTTTCGTCGGTTTGGTTAGATTTTTTTGTTCAAACTAGTTTTTTCATATTACTTAGTCCCCAATTCCGTAAAAGAATCTGCAGCGATCCATCGAACTGTGTGCATTTATTTAGAAATTGAACAAATCCCACCGGACACGTCATAAAGACAATCAAACCTATTGGTGGTCCCTCGGGCAATTCCGTGTACCTTTTACAGCCCTTGTGCAACCCCAGCGTCACAGAATACATGCACCATACGGCTACTTATTGCACCCCTAAACACCAGCTTTTCGGTATTTGAGACAAGTGGGTGTACATAACATCAACATTATGGCCCATTATGGTCTTATTACCCCTGCAAATCGTAATTTTATTAAAAAAATACACAACTACAGTTCGAAAAGCCTGCGATACAAAAAATCCAGCCGTGATATACAGTCTGCGCCGAATTTCTATGCCGTTCGATTTTCCCTCCTCATTCAAAGCATTTTTCCTCCGGATCTGCTGGCATTTGTAAATTACTTAGGTATTGAAACCGAGCCCAGATCTAGTGTATAGATCGACCGAAGTAATTTATTATAATATCAAAGCGAACATAAAGAGCCACTCAACACCAACACAATCCATTTGAAACAATCGTGCAATCATAGCCACCCCCCTATTATAATGCGCAGATAACATCGAGTAGGCCGGGCGTGTTGGGGGCCGATTTGACACATTTAATTTGACCGGTGGTCCCGCGGGATAGGTCCATTACGACATATCAGTACCCCGCACTTCTGATTAATAAAATAGCAGATGTGATTTAGGCGAAAACGCGGCGGGAATTAATGTGACGACATATTTAGACCCTTGGACGATTACTTGATTACTTCAAGTGGAAAAAAAAATTGGAACTTACCTATTTATCGATGAAACACTAGGTACATTGTCTTGAGAGCATATGCCTTCTGCTAAAAGTCTATCACGGATTTCCCAGGCGAACATCGTCGGGTTTTCTCTTTTGTAGTTGGCTATGGCGTCTACTACTGGAGGGGTTGCTACTTTGGGTTTGGAGCCGCCGATTACGCCTGCCTTAAAGCTACCCGTTTCGTAATATCTGGAAAGGGAAATTAAAAACTAGATTTTTGATCGAAAAACTCAAGAATTCGTTGTTAAAAGCTCAAAGCTCCTAAAATCGGGAATCCACTAACAATCAATTTCCTTTTTCTCTCTTTTCCAGCGCGTTTTCCCGCCCGTCCTTCTATTTTTAGTATGCACACACTAAGCTTCACGTGGTCGCGATTTAATCTCTTAATGACTTCAACTTCTATCGTTATTGAATTCTCACGCTCGTGCTTTTCACTAAGAGAAGATTAAAATCCATACATAAAATCCAATTACGCGATTGAAATGTTGGTATTTTTTGTGATTCGAGTGAACGATAATGCCGATTTCACGCGTGTCATACGAAAATGAGAATAATAACACAAATACCTCGGTCCAGGAATTCTCAGTAGTGTTAATGAGGCCGGGCTTGATAACGAGATTATAATAGGCAAGTTAAAAAGTGATCGCATTTTACTGTCATTCTAGACACGACTGCCGCCTCAGGCAGTCCTTGAAGTGTTAACTTTTGGCTTCCAATCATGTCGTAAAGTTGGCTCGAATTTACATGGACAGACGTAATTATTGTCATTAATTATACGAGTCATTAGCTTCAAATTTTGCTTTATCGCGAAGTTGTAGTTGCGAAAAGGTCGTAAACGCTTTGGCTTGTAATCTGGTCGTAAATAATAACTAACAGAGATTAAAAGTTGTTTTACACATAAAACTTAGTATTCGGTTAATCCGGCTTGATTCGACTGAATAAATTTAATAAGTTATTTAATTGAGATAATTAGACGGGAAATCAATGATCCATATTATTATTATGGACGAAAGTTGTGGCATTTATGCGTTCTTTGCAACAAATTAACAAATAGTTATCATAATTGTAATATTAAACCAAGAAGAGATGAAAAGTAGGTCGATGCCACATTTTTATTATAAACTGAGGGATAACATGTTTCGGTGCCATCATCAGAGTTAAATGATCAGTAGGAATTAGCTTACAAAAAACTTTAAACGTAATACACTTAGACGAAATTGCACAAATTAAGCTTTCAGTTTTTCAAAATTTGAATTTATTTTTAGAGCATCGACCCGAGTGGTGAACAGTTCTCAAGATCTCCGAGAGGTTTTTTCACTTTGGTTAAACGTTATGATGAGCAATCTATGGAAGCGAAACGGTTTTTTTTTAATTTATTGAAATTTCGGCTCTTTAAACTGAGAAGTTTGCGTTAAAATCGAAAAAACAAGAAATTTTCATTTCAATTATTCAAATTTTTGGTACTAATTTTCCTAGTTTCGGTCCAAAATTTTCTAATTCTATCAAGATCTTCCACAGGTTTTTTTTTCAGTTTACTTGGATTTTTTTCAGTGTTATTTGTCAGCTAAAATTCAGTTTCTTCTAAATTGACTGAAGTTTCAGTTCTTTAAATTGTTAAGTTTGACATTAGGCCCAAAAAGAGAGGAAATTTTTACTTTTATTTTTCGAAATTTGTGTTTAATTTTGGAACGTCGGTCCCGAATTTTGTGAACTTGGCAAGATCTTAGAGGTTATTGTCCACTTTAGTTGGACAATTTTTTCAGTGTTCTATTGCAATTAAAATCCATTTTCTTTTAAATTAATTGAAGACTGGACTCTTTAAATTGAAAACCTTGACATTAATCTCAAAAAAAAAAAACACAGGAAACTTTGTTTTCACTTTTTGGAAATCTAAATTTACTTTTAGAACTTCGGTTCCGAATATTGTAGGCTTGATAAAAGCTTTCAGAGGTTTTTCCAATTTGTTTGGACTTTTTGTTCAGTTTTTTTGAGGAAGTCAAAGGTTTTTTTTTCATTTCATTGACGCCTCAAGCCTTTAAACAACGAATCTTAAAATTAATCTTGGGAAAACAACAAATATTGATTTCAGTTTTACAAAATATGAATTTATTTTTAGAACATTGACCCGAGTAGTGAAAAGTTCTCAAGATCTCCCAGAGGTTTTTTCACTTTGGTTAAACATTATGATGAGCAATCTATGGAAGCGAAACTGTTTTTTTTTTTTTAATTTATTGAAATTTCGGCTCTTTAAACTGAGAAGTTTGCGTTAATATCGAAAAAACAAGAAATTTCATTTGAATTATACAAATTTTTGGTACTAATGTTCCTAGTTTCGGTTCCAAATATTCTAATTCTATCAAGATCTTCCACAGGTTTTTTTTTCAGTTTACTTGGATTTTTTTCAGTGTTATTTGTCAGCTAAAATTCAGTTTCTTCTAAATTGACTGAAGTTTCAGTTTTTTAAGTTGTTAAGTTTGACATTAGGCCCAAAAAAGAGGAAATTTTTACTTTTATTTTTCGAAATTTGTGTTTAATTTTGGAACTGCGGTCCCGAATTTTGTGAACTTGGCAAGATCTTAGAGGTTATTGTCCACTTTAGTTGGAGAATTTTTTCAGTGTTCTATTGCAATTAAAATCCATTTTCTTTTAAATTAATTGAAGACTGGACTCTTTAAATTGAAAACCTTGACATTAATCTCAAAAAAAAAACACAGGAAACTTTGTTTACACTTTTTGGAAATCTAAATTTACTTTTAGAACTTCGGTTCCGAATATTGTAGGCTTGGTAAAAGCTTTCAGAGGTTTTTCCAATTTGTTTGGACTTTTTGTTCAGTTTTTTTGAGGAAGTCAAAGGTTTTTTTCATTTCATTGACGCCTCAAGCCTTTAAACAACGAATCTTAAAATTAATCTTGGGAAAACAACAAATATTGATTTCAGTTTTACAAAATATGAATTTATTTTTAGAACATTGACCCGAGTAGTGAAAAGTTCTCAAGATCTCCCAGACGTTTTTTCACTTTGGTTAAACATTGTGATGAGCAATCTATGGAAGCGAAACTGTTTTTTTTTTAATTTATTGAAATTTCAGCTCTTTAAACTGAGAAGTTTGCGTTAATATCGAAAAAACAAGAAATTTTCATTTGAATTATACAAATTTTTGGTACTAATATTCCTAGTTTCGGTCCCAAATATTCTAATTCTATCAAGATCTTCCACAGGTTTTTTTTTCAGTTTACTTGGATTTTTTTCAGTGTTATTTGTCAGCTAAAATTCAGTTTCTTCTAAATTGACTGAAGTTTCAGTTTTTTAAGTTGTTAAGTTTGACATTAGGCCAAAAAAAAGAGGAAATTTTTACTTTTATTTTTCGAAATTTGTGTTTAATTTTGGAACTGCGGTCCCGAATTTTGTGAACTTGGCAAGATCTTAGAGGTTATTGTCCACTTTAGTTGGAGAATTTTTTCAGTGTTCTATTGCAATTAAAATCCATTTTCTTTTAAATTAATTGAAGACTGAACTCTTTAAATTGAAAACCTTGACATTAATCTCAAAAAAAAACACAGGAAACTTTGTTTTCACTTTTTGGAAATCTAAATTTACTTTTAGAACTTCGGTTCCGAATATTGTAGGCTTGGTAAGAGCTTTCAGAGGTTTTTCCAATTTGTTTGGACTTTTTGTTCAGTTTTTTTGTGAAGTCAAAGGTTTTTTTCATTTCATTGACGCCCCAAGCCTTTAAACAACGAATCTTAAAATTAATCTTGGGAAAACAACAAATATTGATTTCAGTTTTACAAAATATGAATTTATTTTTAGAACATTGACCCGAGTAGTGAAAAGTTCTCAAGATCTCCCAGAGGTTTTTTCACTTTGGTTAAACATTATGATGAGCAATCTATGGAAGCGAAACGGTTTTTTTTAATTTATTGAAATTTCGGCTCTTTAAACTGAGAAGTTTGCGTTAATATCGAAAAAACAAGAAATTTTCATTTCAATTATTCAAATTTTTGGTACTAATTTTCCTAGTTTCGGTCCAAAATTTTCTAATTCTATCAAGATCTTCCACAGGTTTTTTTTTTCAGTTTACTTGGATTTTTTTCAGTGTAATTTGTCAGCTAAAATTCAGTTTCTTCTAAATTTACTGAATTTTCAGTTCTTTAAATTGTTAAGTTTGACATTAGGCCCAAAAAAAGAGGAAATTTTTACTTTTATTTTTCGAAATTTGTGTTTAATTTTGGAACTGCGGTCCCGAATTTTGTGAACTTGGCAAGATCTTAGAGGTTATTGTCCACTTTAGTTGGACAATTTTTTCAGTGTTCTATTGCAATTAAAATCCATTTTCTTTTAAATTAATTGAAGACTGGACTCTTTAAATTGAAAACCTTGACATTAATCTCAAAAAAAAAACACAGGAAACTTTGTTTTCACTTTTTGGAAATCTAAATTTACTTTTAGAACTTCGGTTCCGAATATTGTAGGCTTGATAAAAGCTTTCAGAGGTTTTTCCAATTTGTTTGGACTTTTTGTTCAGTTTTTTTGAGGAAGTCAAAGGTTTTTTTTCATTTCATTGACGCCTCAAGCCTTTAAACAACGAATCTTAAAATTAATCTTGGGAAAACAACAAATATTGATTTCAGTTTTACAAAATATGAATTTATTTTTAGAACATTGACCCGAGTAGTGAAAAGTTCTCAAGATCTCCCAGAGGTTTTTTCACTTTGGTTAAACATTATGATGAGCAATCTATGGAAGCGAAACTGTTTTTTTTTTAATTTATTGAAATTTCAGCTCTTTAAACTGAGAAGTTTGCGTTAATATCGAAAAAACAAGAAATTTCATTTGAATTATACAAATTTTTGGTACTAATGTTCCTAGTTTCGGTTCCAAATATTCTAATTCTATCAAGATCTTCCACAGGTTTTTTTTTCAGTTTACTTGGATTTTTTTCAGTGTTATTTGTCAGCTAAAATTCAGTTTCTTCTAAATTGACTGAAGTTTCAGTTTTTTAAGTTGTTAAGTTTGACATTAGGCCCAAAAAAGAGGAAATTTTTACTTTTATTTTTCGAAATTTGTGTTTAATTTTGGAACTGCGGTCCCGAATTTTGTGAACTTGGCAAGATCTTAGAGGTTATTGTCCAGTTTAGTTGGACATTTTTCAGTGTTCTATTGAAATAAAAATGCATTTTCTTTTAAA